AAACAAATTAATCGCATTGTGTTTACATGCAGCGACATTCAGTGTGGGGCGAAAGAGAAAGTGTGAGTGCGAGCGAGAGAGCGAATGGGAGTGAGCGAGAGCGCCTATGGAGGGTATTCCGTCAGCCTGTGTGCAAACAGATAAAACCATAAAGTGTTGACATTGTTAAGAGAAAGGCCACAACAACAATAACAACAAGCAGCAACAGTTGCGTACTGCTGACAGCAGATCAGCGTCAAAGATACCCTGTAAAAGGTACCGAGAGGGAGTGTAAGTGGAAAAGCAAAACTAATTTAGTTGTAGTTGTGAGATATAGCAAAGATATGTATATAAGTATATGTATTATATATTCTTCAAATCTAAATAAAAACCAAAGTGCATATGCCTATTATTATTATATATATGGGCTGCTTATCGTTGGGCTTATTATATAGGACCAGTGTTTGTCAATGCCGAATATTTTGTTTTTCTGTAGTTTGTTTTATAGGGTATTTAATAGCTTGGGCGCAATTTGTGCTGCCCTTGGTTAACTTAAATTTTAACTTAAACTTTTTTAGCCCTCATACGACATTCAACTTTTTTAATCAAAACTTAACGAGCGTTCTCAGTYTYTCTMTGTATGTATGTMTGTATGTGAATCTCTCACTGCATTTCTCTTGTTTCTGCTCTCTATACATATATTCCTTAATTCTCACTCCTTTACTTGTCCCTATCTGTTTGTATCTCTCTATCTTTCTCCGTACCTTTTTATATACAATGATTCTCTACATCTCTTACTCAGTTTCTACATCTTTCTTACTATCTCTTTCCCTTTGTTCCTGACTGTCTGCCTCTTTCTCCCTCATCCTCTCTCCGTCTCCTGTCTCTTGCGCCTCATTGCATTAATGCACTTAAAAATAATTGTCAACTGCACTTTTGCATAATAATTCATGCTCGGTCAAATGTTCTGGCTCATTATAGTCAACAACAAAAAGCTGGCCATCAGCGCAATTATCAACCAGCCAAATATGACAGAAACAGCGAAAGCAGCAAAGCGAGACAGACAAAGGGAAAGAGAGCGAGAGAGATATATGCATTTAGATGTAGATGTCAGGCCAAATATAGAAGTAGACCTGATGAATGCCAAACAAGTTGACTGCCAAAGTCAGAGCCAAGTTACAAGGACAAACTTTTCGCCAAGCAACAACAAAAACAAATACAACTGCGATAAATAATGCATAATAACAAGACTAAAAACAACAACAACACAAGCAGCAGCAGCAATGACAATGACAATGTCAATGACAATAAAAACAACAAATGTAAAATAAATTGTAGACGGCGCGTAATTTTAATTATTATGAACTCGAAAAGCGCGAACTGTGAAAATTAGACATTCATTTCGAAAAGTGGGAAATCCCATGTGGAAAAGCCAATTGCTGGATGGGCCCCAGAACGCAACTGTGGAGACAATGGAGCCAACAAAAGTTTGTGCCATGCCCAAATGAACTTTTGTTGAGCACGGCGAGTGAAAGGGAGAGAGAGTGAAAGAGAGAGAGAGAGAGTGAAAGAGAGAGAGAGAGAGAGAGAGCAGCAGTTGTGAGTGAGTCAAAGTGCGTGTATGCGAGTGTGTATATTATGTGTGCGAGTCACATGTGCTCCGCCGTCATAATGCTTTGTTTTCACGCTACCCTGTACTCATTAAGAGTTTTTTGGAATATGCCTAATCTCTATTAATGTAAGCAGGAAGGTTGTTATATATGAGTTAATACTATAAAATCGATAACAATCGTTAATCGGAACTATCTTTATATGAAAAATTTAAAAGTTTGAATATGGAATAAAATTAAGTTCATTTTTGATATATTATGAAAACCTGAAAATCACTTAAATTCGATAATAGGTTTTGCCTTTGATTCGCATAGCTGGTGGATCACAGAAATAAGACAAGTTTCCTCTATTTATTATATTCTCTCTTTATTTCTCACATTTTCTATCTGCTAAGATAATTTGAGAGCTATTATTAATGTTTCTAGGATATCTTAAACTGTTCTTTTTTTTTTAAGAAATCAATATTTAAGCGTGTATACATAAAAATCCATTTCAATATGCATTTCAATACAATATATCAAGAAAAAAAACTGCATAGAACCTGACACACAGCTGTATGCCGGCCACTCTTAGCCATAGATAGGGTAACTAATAGTCGCCTACTCTCGCTCAGCAGCACTCGCACTTGTTTACTGTCACATTTGCAACTGACTGAACTACAAGGCAAAGACATTTCGCGACATGTTCCTAAGGAAGCGCACAAAAGTAGGCAACAGAAATGCGCGCTCGAAGAAAGGCTACGATAATTACATGCTACGATGCGAGATATGTGCATGTGTGTGTGAGTATGTGTCTATGTGGATGGGTGAGCGGGGGTGTGTATATACATATAATGTGTGCGTCTCATGTCTGCTTGGTGTATTCAATATCAATTCATGTAAATTTAATTACGCATGCCTGCGCCCTGTTTGCATGCCCCAGCCAAACACACACACACACACACACGCAGTGCTGTTTGCGCATATTTGATTACCTAGTGAGCTACAGCAACTGTCTGGCAACTCCACGCCAAACTAATTAAAGTGCTCATTGGCAAGCCAAACAACTTGCAACATGCACAAAATGTTGCACATTATTGTTGTTGCTATTGTTATTGTTGTTGTTATTGTTGTTGCTTCTTTGGCGCCTAAGTTTTTCTGGCCTTGCCCAAAAGTTTCGTTTCGCTTTTGGCACGCATTTGAGAGCCCGATGCGCCACTGAGCCGGCATATTATTTCGTTATTAATCGAAAAGTTAAACTTTTAATGCATCGCAAATTGTTTCGCAATTAACAGTTGCTAAGTTGCTGCACGCATTTGGTTGTCTTAGAGACGGCAATAAATTATGCACGCAAACKTAATACCCTGGAATACGTAGRAAATTTCGTACTCTTGCAACGAATTTAGAGTTTTCCTCTCTACGGGCGCCATAATATAGCGAACGCCGATAAGTTGTTGCAACAAAAGTTTGCGTTAACAAAAGTGTTGCAAGCTAAACAAACTGCAACAGCAACAGCAACGGCACGCACACACGCGCACACGCCCTCCGTTCCGCCCACGTCAGTTGCAAAGTTTTTTGATTTGGCTTTGTTTATTGTCAGCTCAAAGTTGAAAATCCGTAACGAAATTTCTCCAAAGAACTTTTGCCAGCGCTACCGAAAATTCAAATTGGAATTCGACATTTGTTGCCAGCAGCTTTAAGGTTGAGACATTGCAACAGCAACAACAGCCGTCTGCCACTCAACAATACGCATAAATAACAAAAATAGTACAGAAAAGAAAGAAAAGTTGGCTTTAGTTGCTTTTCCTTTGGTGCAGGCGACGAAAGCCGAAACTCGTTATCATTTAATACCAGCGAAGGATGCGGCGAGTGGCTGCCAAAGCAACTCAAGCGATTGGCAACTAACTGCAGCACCACGCTGTACACTGAAAATTGTAATATAGAAATTTACAATCCTGTACCCTAATCAAACAGAAGATTCTTTACTTAACTGAGACACTCGAGGTCCTTTCCTTCCATTCAACATTAATCCACGATTATAACTTTAACATAACAAACTTTATTTACCCACACATTGCTAGCTTTATTTCTCGCAGTGCAATCTCATTTCAACGTCTTGCTTGCAAACACTCTTTACATACTCTTGCTCTATTTCTCTTTATCTCTATATTAGGCATTCGCTTGCGCTTTTGTTGCAACATTCATGCACAATATTTGCATAATACAGACTGATTGATGTTTGACTGTTGCACAGCTGGCAAGAGGCAGAGACTTCGCCTGGTAGCTATTGGTAATGAAAAACGGGCCAAGAGATTGCCAAAGATTGGCAGCCCACATTGGGCTGAATCGTTCAAGCGGATTACAACAATTCACAACTTGTAAATATGATGCCAGGCCGTTCTACTATTTGCACAGATACAACAACAACAGCACAACAACAACAAACGTTGTTAACTGGCACAAGGCAACATCGGCTACAACAACGACAACCTGGCGAAATCGATGGCCTGCTTGTGCCACACAGCCTCGACTCCATTTGCTGCCGCTGAGTGCAAATAGTTTTTGGTTTTTACTTATTGTTGACTGCCTGCCCGCCCATGCCACCCGACCCTACCCTAGATATACATATACATATACATATATCCTGGCCCAGCCCCTCATCCTACCGCCCCTCATTTGCTACAAGCAGCTGGCGCTTAGCCAATTCCCAGCATCCACACAGAACGACAACCGAATGCTCAGGCTGGGCTTTTTGTTTACCAACCTTAACAAAGACTTTGCCGCATTGCCTCGTATTTTACTATTTCCTCAAATGTCCAAATAAACTCGCTTTCAAAGCAAAAAGGTGCCGCAAATTCACACCAAGCCAATAAATTATGTAACGATTTATGAAAATTTAGCTGCTGAAAGCGAAGCTGGGCATATAAAAAGTTCACAAATAGTTTCTAATTTGTCGGCGAGAGAAAAAACTTGGAAGCAGCAGTTAAGAGAAGTCCGTTGATTGAATGGATTTATATACTTTAGCCTAACTCTAAGAGGTAATAACATTTAATGTTAAATTTATGACTATAATAAAGCCAATTTAATAGTTGGGAAATGAATGCATTTTTACAGGGTAGATCAAGGCTGCACTCAGCCTTTTTTGTCACTACTCCAGATGACACATTTAGGCAATATAGCAAAATTTGTACAGGGTATGTCAAGCTCGACTACAGCACAGCTACTATCTTACAGGGTATATTCCTGTGTCTATGAATTGAAAAATGCTTTATTCGGCTAATCGCAGTAGGCGTGCTCTAAAATTTTTCGAACCTGCCTCTGAGCTAAACAAAATATCGTCAGTTGCTTCGAGACTTCCAGAAGACTTTAAACTCACATTTACACAAAACTTTTCATATTTTTATAGAAGTATTTCTAAAAAAAACCTTTTTTTATCTTTGTGTATGATTCAAAATTTTAGTAAATTTTTTTGTTTTTAAATAAAAGTGCGAAAGGACAATAGCTAAACAACATGAGCGGGCCATTTTCTCATTACTCCATAGTATCGCAGGACGATTTCGAACGACGTAGCATCCAAAGTCAAACCAGTGCTACACTGGCCCAAATCGATGCATTTGATTTCAATCCGGTAAGTAAAGCTATGGTTTATAGTTGAAAAAGTACGAAGGGTTCCTTGAAGGCATATTACGTATACGCGTGGTATACAAAGCAAACCTAACTTTGTATTTAGTTAATACCTGATGGGGTCTGAATTTCAGCCCTCGGATTCATTAGCCCTACAATTATTTATTAGAACTTTTGTTTCTTTCCTGTTTCTTAAAACACTCTACTAACTAATTAATATCTACAATCCCATTGCACCCACTTATAGCGTCCAATGTTACTTTATACTTTTGACGAAAACTTTGCCAGTGGCTGTAGCGTTTGTTGTCAGGAATGCGCCGACCCGGACTCATTGGAAGATGCTTGCAAGAGGAAGCGCAAGAAACGGCGTTGCTGTAAGCCACGCTGCAAGCCCAGGCCGTGCTGCAAGCCGAGACGTTGCCGCAAGCCAAAGCCCCGCTGCAGGCCATGCTGCAAGCCAAAGCCTCGCTGCAGGCCATGCTGCAAGCCGAAGCCYCGCTGCAGGCCATGCAAACGGAAGCCAGCTTGCCCCAAACGCCGCAAGCCACGTCGCAAGCCCTGCTGCCCATCGTGCTAATGCCACCTTTGCCAAGTCCTATTATCTCTGTTCATCAGTGTGTGTGTGTGTGTATGAATCTTTGTGTTAAATGGGGCAAAATCTAGTCATCTGGAATCAATTTTAATTTTTAGCATGTGTGCGTGTTTATCAAGGGGGTGTCAAATCAATAAATTACCAAAAAATTAAAACAAAATATTTTAGTTGCACTGGGAAATAATGTAAATAAGTAAACGGAGTAAGATTTGTTTTGGGAAGGGGTTTATTACTTACCAATTTTAGTGGACTTTAGTGGACGATCTGCAAGAAAGGTAAAGATTAAAATCAAGTACATAGGTCTTATGAATATGTATGAGTGTGTTCGTCTCAACCTGAGATATCAGCATTATGTGAATAATATTCTTACATTCGTATATGCTATGATTAGCTCTCAGTAGGGTCATAAAAATGACGCAATATTCTATCATTAAAATATTCTATTACATGCTAAAAGCATGATCCATTGTGGTAATACATTTGCCTTGAGTTTCCGTTCACCCCTACTGTAAATGTTTTAACTCAAGTGATTTCCTTATTCTTTTCTTTTGCCTTCACTATAATAGTATTACCGTTAAATCTCAGAAGCAGCCCTATTATACATCCACATTTTCTCTGCATTCATTCGCACATACATTCCGTCCCTAGCACATTTAGCATTTTGGGGTTTGCTAAACTTCCACAAATAAATTTTCATTAGCGCCGTTTTGTCTAATGAGTTGAACTTTTGCCAACCGAACTGAGCTGTGGAGCTGAGTGGAGCTTAGCTCCCTCCTGAGCTGCTGACCCCAACAGTTGCACCTTTTTGCTCCATAACACATTAACAGATGCCTGACTGCGTGTCAGGCATTTAGTCGCCCCATCCCGTGCGCCCAATGTGTGTCTCCCTTGGCTGGACTTATTAAATGCACTCGAGCGAAACATCAAAGTTGCCTCGATTTGTAGCTGGCTCATTCGCTTCCGCATCCCCGTTCGGGGAGTGCCCTCAGCTGACTCTCAGTTGGCTCTTCATGTTTATTAAATAGTTTCACGTCGTGTGTCTATGGGGGGTGGGGGTGGTGACTGGTGGGCGGTGCTCTATTTGCATGGGGTAGAGTGTGCGGACAGGCAGATCTCTCTTCCGTCCTGGTGCATTGCATTTGTTGCAATTGTGGCATATTTCAATTTTTGCTATTGCTATACCAACAGCAGCAGCTGCAGCTGCAGCAACTGTTTGGCCTCTGTCCTTCCCTTCCATTCATTACGTTGCTGAAGGAGTTTTCCTTTTTCTCGTTTTTTGTTTCTTTTTTGTGCATCTCTTCATCGAGCTTTCTGTGGGGCTGTGTGGCTGCTGCTGTTGCTGCTTTGCCATGGCAGCCTTTGACGCGTTGCTCTCGAAATGAAAACCAAACAAATGTCACGCTGATCCAGGCAACCTCTGCGGCTGCCCCTGCCTGAATGCCACGCCYCYTCGCGCTCTCCCATTTAAAGCACAAATTGCAAATTGCAAAAATTTTGCGCTTTGTCGTTAGAAAAATTGCGTATACGTTGCTACGTGAACGACGTAAAAGCACCTTACGACAATTTACATTTATTGCCAGCCATTTCAACCGCATAAATGGCACTCGACTGGGGGGCGAGCCGACGCCACAAAATGGGTGTGGCCGCTTTCTATTATATTATTAAGCTGACATTGGCCCCGAGCACTTGTTATTGTTGTTATTGCTGCTCTGGCATACACAAACACTTGGCATGAATTATGGTTGCCAGCAGAACAAAATGGCAAACAGATGAGAGAGAGAGAGAGAGAGCGAGAGGGAACGGAGTGAGTGAGAGTGCAGATAAGCCTGTCAACGGGTTGAGAGTTGCCAATTTGTTGCTCCATTGTTTGTTTTGAGGACATTTCAAATATTTTTGGGTAAGCTTCAAGACTGAAACACAATGCTCTAGAGATTTCGTGGAGAAGGGTATGCTATACAACTGATTGGGTTAGACAGCAGATGTTAAAATAAGTGTTACTTCTATATACCGTTAACTTGAAATGCTTGAAAGTGGCTGGCACAAACTGTGCTGACGATATTCCAAATGAAGCTACTTGTGTTTTCAGTAAAGTCTACAGCTCACATATGCTGAGAGAAAGAGTTTTGTAATATTGCAATTAGCTTCATTAATGGCTTAATAGTTCTTTCTATACAATGAGATATGCTTGGTCTAAGCTCAATCTGAATCATCAATCTTATTGAACTTGTATTACTATTACTAATCCTCAATGAAATGTATATTAGATTCTTTTCTATTAACTTCATTGCTTGTCTTCTATCTCTTCTGCTTCTCTTCTATCTCAACCCTGATTCTCTATCATAATCATGTAACATTATTATATATTATTATTGTTTCCTCTAGCCAATTATATCTAGTCTCAGCATCAGCTCTATTCCTCCTCATAGAGCATTTGCCAGTCAACTGAACTTGGTTCCTTCTCCATGCTTTGCGCTTTTCACAGCGCTCGCCTTGAAGACATTAACCCAACTCAGTTTTCGCATAATGAATTTTGAACGAGGCGACGAGACAAAATTTATGAGCTTTACAAATCATTTCAGCCAACGAGAAAATTTCTGTTGCAATGCGGGCTACACGAAAAGCTGTTAATTATTGTGTAGCCTATTAACAAAGGCAGGATATCAAGGATATCACCAGGCTAATGGCTCAGCCCATCTCTCTCACTCTCTTATTCCTCACTCTCTGCCTCTCTGTCTCTCGTAGTGTAAATGGCCCGCATATGCGTTACATTTAAGAGACATTTGCACTCGACACTTTTGGCGCAACAATTTGCGAACTGTTGCAGCAAAGTTTTGTGGCCACCAAGCCTCACGGGTTTCTCTCTCTCTCTCTCTCCCTCTCTCTGTCTCTTCTATATCTAGCTGTATCTCTAACTCTTTCTGTTGGCTTTTTAGGCTGGACCGCCTGGCGCCATTTAGAAGGCACATTAATCAATTTAGCCGTCAGCAACAGCAAGAGCAGCATCAGCAGGAGCTGTAGGAGCAGCAGGAGCTGTAATGGCAGCCAAGCGAAACCGAAAGCTGCCTCCATGTAAATTATAAGTCCGTTTTGCTGTCCGGCTAAAATTCAGACTCTAGTCCTGCTCTGCACTCGAGAATTCTTGCTGTTCACATCTCACTCTCTCTCCCTCTCTCTCTCTCTCTCTCTCTTCCTACGTTTTCCTCTCGGTGCCTCTCTTTTTTCTTTGTGTTTTTGTGCATGTTTGGCGCCAGTTTAAAAACTTAATTAAAAGCATAACAAAGCAAAAGCTGAGCCAAAAAAAGAAAAATACTTAAACTTGACGCTCAACCCACAGCATTCTCTGCTTTTTCGGCGCTCAACTAAAAGATTTAAGAAACGTTTTCATCCACACACACACACACCCATACACATGTTTGGCATTTAGATGCAATTAAAGTGAAACATGAAAATGGAAATGAAATAAAACATAAAAACTTTTATATCTATGTGTGTATATAGTAAAAACTAAACAGTTATTGTTAGTTGTTGGGTCTAGAGCTTGTGTCATTGCAGCTTTTGTGCATTTGAAATTTAATTAACACTCAAACRWGCACACACACACACAGCATTATAGTGCAAGTGACAGCGTGGCAAAAAAGAAACTAATAAAAACTCATTTCAAAGAGTTTTTGATGAGGCGCACGTTGCAAGCGCTGGACGTTGGATCAACAAGCAACAGCAGCTGCAGCAGCAGCCCAGAAGATTGAAGTTAAAGGCGCGCTGGCTGAGGCCCCACTGCCGCAGGCTGTGTATAGCTTCCGCTGTGATACCAGCTCTGGCTTTGCTGCTAATTCAGCGCCTGTTGCTATTGTCAGTGATAGAGAAAAAAACTGGAATGCAGAAGGACATGCAGCAGTGGCACTGGCAACAGGATGCGGCCAGCTGGGATGCTTTTGTCTCAGCCCAGTTGCAATATACTCTTTGGACTCTTCTCTCGCTGCTGTTGCCGTTGTTGTTGTTGTTGTTGCTCTTCCTCTTCTACAAGTTTTGCTCTAATGAATGTCAACTTGGTCCGCCACGCAAAAGTTTCGTTGCTCCGGCTGCAGCTGCCGGCATTTTTCGCATTCGAAATTAATCAGCCAAAAGTTGCGGTTTGTTGGTCAAGTTTTATGGCCAATTATGATGGCGATTTAGCCAGCATCGCTATTTATATAAATGTATAAAGCGCGCTTTAATTAAATGACATATTTCGCTGTTATGGACAAAAATAAAAGCCAAGGATGTAGCGAGAGACAGATAGAGAGAGATTGAGAGAGAGACAGAGCAATAAAAATCAATTGAAAGGACAAATTGACATAGAATTGACTCTATGACTTTATTCTAAGCACATTGTCTAAGCAGCTTATAATAACTTATTGGGAATATAATCTGTATGATTCACTTATTGAGTTCACTTATTACAGCTAAGCGCAGAGTAATGCTTCTCAAACTGTGTTCCGAAAAAGTATAAATATATTCTTTCAAATTAATTTCATTTTTTGGTCACAACTTTCATCTCCTTCCTTTCCACTTCCTGAAAAGAGTAGATATTAAAGCCAGCAAACTTTATTCAACAGTTAATAGAATTAAAGACCAAGTAAAGCACGTGAAACTCGTGACACAAATTCAAATCAGCCAAGGCAATGCTAAGCGAACGCATTTAAGCACATTCTATTAACGTAGTTATGCGAATCCGTCAACAAGTTCTTCTTTACTTTACCCAAAGAATTCGAAGCGAGGAAAATTTGTCAGCTTGTCATGCGCCACGCCCGCCTCACTAGTCCACTCCTTGCCCACTAGCCGTCAGCTGTTGAAAATTAAATGGACTTTCATTATTTATACGCTGTGATTTTCAAACAGACAGAAAGCAAACTGTCGTTGCCCACAGCCAACGTGCCCCTATCCCTTTCTCTCCCTCTCTCTCTATCAGTTATTCCCTCTCGTTCTCTCTCTATCGCTTGCTGTCATGTTGTCTGTTAGCTGGTCCAAATATTTGCAGCTCTGAACGTTTTCCATTGGACTTTTATGAACGATTTTTGACGATTTCGATTTTACCGAGTCAATATTTACATATTGCCAGTCAGTGGATCCTCCGCCCACTCCGCCCAGCCACCGCCCGCACCACT